AATCTGATTTTGAAAATTTCAAACTTATTTTCTTATTTTTGAAATAGGCTAAACTTATTCTCTTGAATATATAATCTTCCCTTTTTATTTTGTAATTGGATTGGGCCATTTGTTCTAGGCCCAATCCTTAATGATATAATATAGGCCAAATTCAAATCTCATTATCCCTTCGATTCAATCGAAATCAATTCCCAAATTTCCAATTTTCACCTTTTCCAATCTCTCGACTTCTTGGCTCTTACCCATCACATCGCTGCCGCCTGTCGGACCGTCGGTGGGTGTCCACCACCACCAATCTGGCCACAACCGTCTCCGTCTCCGACATCAGAAGAATTCACTCAGGCCTCAGCCCCTGGTTGTCGATTGATAAACGATAGCCACTTAGCTAGGTTAAGTATACTTCAAATCTTCAATACTTGGTTAGTTGGTTTGGTTATTCTATAGTTCTATTGAATATGTTTTGATGGCATGTTGTCTGTCATCTGTGGAGTATGGGGGATTAGTTTTATGGCTTTGCTATTTGTACAGCACAATATACATCGGAGTGTACACCCCCCTCACATGGGGGTGGGACCCTCTTAAATAAAAAAATATTTTATGCAGTGGGTCACATCCCCCATGTGAGTGGAATGTAACCCCTTATGTACAAAAGTTGATGTACAAGTTGAATTTTTCTTAATTTTATCATAGTTATTAATTATTATCATTATTATGGTTATGAATATGGCATTTGTCTTTTCTTGTTTGCTCCTACTCTTGGAATGTTTGCCCATTTACAAAGTTGAATATGAGGGCTTTGAAATTTGAATTGAAGCCAAGTGTTTTCATTTCTGCTTTGAGTATTTTGAAGTAGACATATATATTGAATAATTTTTAATATTATTTAATTAAATATTAATAAACGATCTCGTTCTTACGATCATTGATTGTCGACGTTCACCAGTCAACGTCCGCTCGAGTTGAACTTCAATGTTGGGTCCGTCCTTGTCTAGAGCTAGATAAAATATAAAAAATGCTAACGAATAATGATATTGTGTACACGTCAAAATCACAAGGATGAAAAGTCTGACAGTCTCCTAGGATAGTTTGAGACAGGCGTGTGTATATATATATATATATATACACACACACACTTATATACACGTAAACAAACCGCATCTGAACTATTCTATCCAATAATGAACCTTGATAAATATACGCTTTTAAAAGTAATAAAGTATCTTTATTCAAACTCAAAAGCCTATCAGCTCCTTTTAGTGAATGCTTTAGGTCCACAATCAACCTTTAAAAATAAAAAGAACTTTTACCCAGAAATGTTACAGGGAAAATGCTTATTATTTTCCAACTTCATACTTTAAAGGTTACAACAATCATAGAATACAACAGGAGGAATAGAAAGGACACAGAATGATGAATGATTTCAAATTCAGCACCTGTCATTCACTGCATTCCCAGGACGAATACAAACCTCGATTACAAGAAGCACGACTCAGAGCTCGTCCTGCAAGCAGTAAGCATTAAGAGGATGAAAATGAATATAACATGCATATTAAAGGGAAAATGTCCATGAAAATTATCGAAAGGGGTTATATAATCAAATAATAAGATGGATGCATCACACGTAGAGATCAAATAATGCCCCAAGATCAAATCTCACCATCTCACCTTGAGATTGATGGACTATGCAAATTGATAGAACAAAATGTTTTATGTTCATACATTCAGGGCAGGTAGGGAGGGAGGGAGAGAGAGAGAGAGTCCTTACGTGGTAGTCATCTAAGTAATCTTCAGGATCATGCTGCAACACAAGGATGGAAATGTAAATGGCAGAAGTCAAGCATAAAATAATTTGACCAAGAAATAATGAATAAACATATTTTTCTTCAAGGTCAGGGTAGGATCTACTTTGATGTTTCAACAAAATCTCGGATAAAACTGTATTTCAACGTTGTTTTCCAATGGTCACTTAACTTCAAAAATTTTCCGTTGTACTTTCGAAGTTTTTTCCTCAATCTAACCATCCTCTCTGACTGACTTCATCAGGAGATCCCAATGGTCCGGTTCACCTTCCCTCTTTCCTTGAAATCGTCCGAGACATATGGTTCATTCCTGGCTATGCACTTTCTAAAATTGACAGAAGAGTGGGACGGACAAGGATGATCATATTGTTTGGTTTCGGTGCATCAGATGTATGGGCATAGAGAACAATGACAGTGTGATAGGTTACATGTAGGATAAGATTTGCTTAAATATGGTGGTCGCAATTGTGAGGTTCAAGAAGTGTAGATCTACGTCAGGTTTATGCATAATGCACTGGTTGATTAACATCTTCTAGAAACAAAGAGGAAGAAAATTAATATTCATCTTTTAACTAGTTTTAGACGATAACAATGACAACCCAAGATCCACAGAAATTAGCAAAATTACAAGTAACATAGCAACTAGCTAACGAGCACAAAAGTAGATAAGAAATAAAGGGACAATACCCTTCTATGGTGCCTTCTCTCTTTATACCCACGATCTCGGTTTCTCTTCCCTCTTTCATCCTCCTCTCCATCTCTTCTAGCATTCTGCATATCATTTTATGGACGGTGAAACGTAGAATACATAGAAAGATTAGAAGACTGTGTGCGTGTTAAAATGCATCAGCATTTGTATAGTTGTGACTCACCTCTTCTTCCCTAGCTCTTCTTATCTTCTCTGCCTCTTCAAAAGCCTCTTTTTCAGCCTGAATTTTACAGGATGAAACCACTAAATTTAGAAAAATTGAATGAAACCATCATATATAGCCCCTATTTTACAACCATTAAAAAGAGTTTTTGGAGGGAAATGAGTTTTGGAATAGTGATTTTTTTTGAGAATATATATGTGGTTAAAAAGTAGAAAAAATTTTGGGTTTACATACAGAATATTTGTGTAAATGTGTAGTTGAAAATGAGTTCGAAAAAAAAATAATTCCGTAAATAATGGTTGTCAAATAGGGGCATAATATGGAGCACGGTCTCGTCTCACCTCCCTATTGTTGACCCATATTTCTTGCGCAACTTCTTTTGCATATTGTGGGTCATCACATATCAAAATATTGTCAAACACTGAACCAGCTTTTACCTGTAAAAGTAATTATATAGAAGACATACACAATGCAGAAAAAACCAAGTATCATTCAAGACTTAAAACCGTTAATACTGAGTTTACATTGTGTTCACAAAACAGTGAACCAGAAAGTATCATTTATACGATAATAGTGGAATTCAATTTCGCAAGTGTCCATTTCTTGATATTCAAAAACTAGTACAACCAAATGAGATCAGTACCAAAATTCCACTTCTAAAGAGAGAACAAAGAAAAGAACAATTTCACTCGACATAGTTCTACTACCATATAATTGCTACCTCGATAAGATAGCTTTAAAGGGATCGGATACAATGTTTGAAATTCACCAAAAGATATCCCTGTAGGCCTAATTGTCTTCTACAATATTCAGAGCACTTCTCAAATTCAAGATCATTGAATAAATTGGGATATAGCAATATAAAATTCAAATTGGAAAATTTTAAAAAAAAAAGGTTCAAGTAAAAAAAGAAATTTCCACAAAATCAAATAATCGCATGGTTCTTACCTGCCAAACTTCGATGCCTACATATTTTATTGGCTTCAATACATAGAGGTCAGGATCATCTTCAAACTCTGCAGAAGGGAAGAAGAAAAGCAATGAGTTTACCAAAATCTCCCCCTTCCCAAATTCGAAGAAGATGAGACTATGTTAATGAACTTTATCTAGAGAATTGAATCCAGCAGTAAACAGCACAAAGTAACTGTTCTATTACATATGTGCCATGACCCTTTTTTCCCATAACATAGCATTCAAAATCAAGTAAAATGTCTTTTAATTTGGCTGGAAAGCATAATAACATCTCAAAGCCCCTTTATATTTAATAAATAAAGCAGCAGCAAATAGAGTGATGCAATTCGATGTTCCTACTTCTTTCGATGAAAGTTGGGAGAAAAGAAAAAAGACTAGTGTTTACTCTACAAAAAATAATGTCTGTTTAGTTCATCACTTTTGTATAAGAACCATCTATGTAGTATGTACTTTAAGGAATCGCGAGATAGAGTTAATCCAATGACAACTCTAATGTGCTGGATCCCTTCTATTAAATTTGTCAAGTAAATAAAGAGCAAAACATATCCGGGTCAATTCATCAATTTCAAACTAAATGAACATGTTGTTTATGGAAGACCTTCCAATATAAAATAAAATTCAACATATAATTCACATAAAGTTCATGTTGAGAAATCATTTTGGACAATCGTATGCAGCCTCCTTCATCCACTCCTAAAGAGAAGGGAAAAAAAAAAAGAATTGACCAACGTAAGTTTTTGATCATACAAGGGTATTGGCCATGTCAATGAACTCAAGGAAGTTAGATAACTAAGCCCCTGTTTGATTGTCATTATTTTGAGAAATGAAGTTTTGAATAGTGATTTTTTGGAGAATGTGTAATTAAAAATAGAGAAAAGTTTTGTGTTACGTGCAAAATATTTTATTCTTTAAATGTGTGGTTGAAAATGAGTATAGGAATTAAAGAGTTTCAAAATAGCGGTTGTGAAATAGGGACTAAAATGCACTCCATGTTTAGGCAGGGCTGTTATTTACAATCAAGAAGAAAATCTACAGTAAAGAGTCAAGTTCTGGATCTTAAGACGAAAAGGGAAAGCTTGTATAACAAGAACATTCTAAATTATTTGAAGCCTACACTCTTCCATCGAGGGCGCATACTCCAATAGGTATAGCTGGTACAAGTGTATGGGATTGACATGTCCTTTGTGTAGGAGCTCTCAGCTACACTGGCTGAGAGCTATGTTAAGTGATATGTTAGCTTTTATAATGGAAACATAATTTATCTCGAAGTTGGCAGAAGGAACAGATTCAATTTAGCTGAAAGCTAAACTCTCCGAACTATAACATGACATACAGAAGACACATTAGAAATTTAGAACTGATAGCGGCCACTTAATACTAGTTGGATTCATTGAAAGGAAACTTACCCGGATTATCAATCCAAGGAATCTTCCACTTCCCCTTGTAGTTAGGATTCTTGATTCTCTGTTGTAACTCTTCTAAGGTTAGCAATTGCAATTAATTTGGAATTATGCATACAACTCAAACTACATAATTAATAATTAGTTGGCACCTTGCGCTTCCAAGGGCCTTTATATGCTGGATTTGGTACTTTTTTTGGTCTCCAAATCCCATCCTCTTCCTCATCCCAGTCAACAGGCTATTATAAAAAAAAAAAGACGTCATAAACTAACCAATAATTTATTATCAACACACTGTTCAGAAGAAAGAAGAAAATATATATGCATGCAAGTTCCTCCATGCTTTCACACAGAAAAACTCATCCTATTTCATAACAAATCAAAAAGTAAATAACATGAATATAGAATTAATCCATGTAAATCCTAAAAAAAAACAGAAAGAAAGAGTTCTAATAATGAAAAAAAGTAATACGAACAGAGGACCTTTTTAGCCTTGGGATCAGGGATCTCAGCTGGTATAGAATCATATCCCTGCAAGCACCCGAATGAATCATGATTTCAGTCCTTATTTGAAAGATATACGGTGTAATTTACATAGTACAGTATAAACAGTATGTTACCTCTGGTTTGACATCATTGGGATCTTCTATATATTCTCTATCATCCCAGTCTGCCGGCTGCAGAAGACATATTGATAGACATTCTTGTGATGAAAAGATAGGTATAATTTATGAAAAATAAAGGTATATATGCATCCCACGTAATACCCATAAATTATACAAGATCTATTGTTCTATAGTAAAATGTTGCTAGTCGAAGCACTATGGCAAAAAAGCATGCAAATTTGCGACGTCATTTAATCCTGCCATCCACGTTGTATGATTTCATGTCCTTTTGTGAATGTCTACAATAATGACCTTTTTCAGAAATAGTTATATTATTTTTGAAAATGCCATAACTCAGAGTACACAATGGGACTCACAAAACTTACAGACACTATTTTGACAATAAAAAATTAATGTTCAAATGGTTACAACTCTCACCTAAAGCTAAGTGGAAGTTTATACCTCAGCCAATAATGGATGAATGGAGTAGCATTCTTCCACCATAAGACCACACACCACACATTAAGACAATAATAAAAAGAATGCATCAAACTATTCCGCAGTACCTTTTTTGCATGGACACCTTTAATTTTACGAGGAGGGAGGATATCCCAGTCTGTGTACATACTTCCAGACTCTCTTTCGCGATTATCAACCAAGACACTGTAGGTTGCATCAGGCCTTAAAATGAATGTGTAAAAATGAGTCAGCTTGTCAGTTTCACACTCTAGATCCTTTTTAATGGGATAATTCTGCCCCTGGTAGGAAAGTATCACATGGAGCTTCTTAGTCTGAGTGCCACATATATCTGGTCCGAACATCAAACTGCAGAAAAGTAGCAACAAAGAGAAGAATTACCAAATAGTCACAAATGGTAATGAGCTGCAGTGGAATGAACTGCCAATAATATAAGAGATTAGAGCACCAAGAAAAGCATGCATATGGTGCTTGAACTTGTACTTTTTTCTCAGCATTATTTCACTCTTTCTTCACGTTTGTGGAAGCCGTTATCATGTACTTTGTAGTATAGATTAATAAGTTTGCATTTTATAACCTTGAGGGGTTGCTCAACTGGTTAGGCCTTGGGTTTGCTCCCCAGTGGTCACTAGTTCGAGTCCCCTCAGGACCACTGAGGTGGGTACCCGACCGTAAACTTCAGGGCCCCGTGGGATTAGTCGAGGTGCGCGCAAGCTGGCCCGGACATCCACGGTTATCAAAAAAAAAAAAGTTTGCATTTTATTTTACCTAAACCTAACATGCGTAAGTAGCCAAATTATAGCATAATGAAACATATCTTCTTTTTTATTTCAAGTTCCTTGTGTAATTGCTTGGGCAATAAATAAACCCGATTGAACCGAAACCAACATCATGTTAAAGACTTTGTCATAAATAACTTTAAGCTGATATCTATTTAAGCCCTTACTATAATGAAACCAAACAAGCAAAGGGCATGAGAACACATAGAAATACAAGTAAAAAAAGTTATGATATTATACCTAACTGAACTAATAAGAAATAAAGTGCAAACATAAACAATAACCTAAGTTGCTAAAGACCGCAAGTCCCATAAAGTTATGAAAACAAGAATTCGCAGACCTGTATGGAGTGTCACCGCCAAATTTCTTCTGGTTGACATAGCCAGAGAGAAGTTTAATATAACCACCACCACATTCAATATCTTGCTCAAACTTTATCGAATATTGTACCACTAGGGTTCTGTTTTTATTGCTGAACTCTGGTATTTTTGCGGATATGGCATAATGCTTGGCATCTTTATAAGTCTGGATACCTGCACAGTTTTGTTGAGTACAGCAGTCAGACAGAAATATTGAGAAGGAATGCTTCAGATTCATAAATATATCTTCTCCTTATGTGGTCTGCCACTCAAAAAATTTAGAAAATATAAGATGCCTCACCAGTACCATTTGATCTGAAAACCTAATCAATTTTCTTGTCCTTGAGGATCGTATTAATCTTCTTCTTGTCTACAAGGTCAATAGACTTCTCTGTCCCAGTTGCCAACTCTAACACAAAAGTTTTAGCAATGGAGGCAACTCTTCCTCATGGAATTAAAAATATGCATCTCCAATTATTGAACAAGAGAGAACCAAGTGTACAAAACTCTAAAAATTTCTAGAGGAAAACGTGCAAAAAGATCTCCTTTCTTGTAGAATCATAATGGCAGATTAACTATGGCCAATCGTGTATACCTAATCACAGTTCAACTTGATCATTTCTCCATCCAATGTTTTTTACTTTTTTGTTAGGACAACCAGCTATCTTATGTCACCTGAAAATCCAAATTGTGTTGTTTCCTCCTCGCCCTTTCACTTTATATCTTAGTTTTAACAAACACGTGCAGTCTATTCATAATCCATCACCCATGTATAATCCTACTTGTAGAAGAACTCCGAAATTCTGTCTCCTAAGGCTCATTTTTCCATTTATCCTTTCTACTATTACTGTCAGCCCATATTTAAAACAATTCACATCTCAGACCGGATAAAGCCTATTCAGTTATGAAATTCCAGCTTTCGCAAGTTTGTATATCTTCTAATGTAGTGTGTTTCTGCGTTGTTTTACAATCTACTTACTACATTCAATAGAGTGACATTCAGAAGAATCTCCCAATTAATGTCAACTATTTTCATTTAAAAGCAAGAATAGACATGGAGAAAATAGTTGAATGAATGTGTCTCCACAACTTGACACAGCTGTTCTTTCACTTTCCATTTCTTGCTGGTCTAAGGGAAGATGGCAATTGAAAAACTTTTAGATGAATACTGACTGGAAGTAAAGGTTGTGAAGTTGTTCGATAGACATCATAGGTGTGGGCGCATGGGTCACCTTTTGATTCAATACTCTACAACTGGAGAGAAGCGGCTCTCCACAGACATTCTTATTTCCGAGCAGTAATTTTACATCAAATTGAACAAATATATCATGCTAAATTTATATGGTACTATACTCTCATGTCTGCTTCACACCCTTGCCTTCATACGTACTTTTGCGTGGTCAGATGATAATTGCTTTGGTCATATGAATCCGCAAGTGCTCAACTAATTTTCACTACTTTACAACAATTTATAAGAATCTACCAATGTAATGTTGCCTCAGTACTGTATATCGAGTAAAATATGTAAGCACAGATGCCTAATTTTCCACTCCTATAGTATAAGAGGAAAGGGAAGAAAAGGTGGACCTTTGTCATCAGGATCAGCTGCCCATTTCCCAGCCGTGTGCTTGAAAGTACCGGCTTTTCCTTCACTTCTTTTCCAATCCGATAGCACCCACCTACTCGTCCACCCGTCTTTTTACAAAAAAATTCAACACACCCACCACGAAGACAAAAAATAAATAATCAGCATCATCGAAATGGAAAAGTAAAGCAAAAGTTTGATACTGACAGTAAATTTTGCAAAGAGAAAACGCTGATAATAAATATATAGGGTCAGCGGCAAAGAAAATTACTAATAATATCGACTGGATTATGCTGTTGGTTCCAACTATCATCCAACAAATATAGCAAACATCAAAAACAATCTTTAACAATAAAATTAACAAAGAATCAAAGAATTTTAAGCAAATAGTACACCAGAATTCCAACTGCTTACTTACCCATCTTTATTTTTTTCACAATTCTACACGCGAATTGAAATATCGTCGTCAAAAGCTATAAAAAGGAATCATTATGAAAAATGCTAACATACCGCTAAAGCGCTCTTCGAAGAATATTTCTGAGAAGGCAAAGTAAATTATGGAATTGACAGTTAGAAGTAGAAGAATGGATTGTTTAAAGAGCGGTTCCATTTCAAATTCAGCAGAAGCTAAGAAATGGAGTCATCAACCAAGTTCCCCGATAAGGACCGAAGCAAAAGACATTAAAATCTGTGGATTGATGAATTTGTTGAGCCCTGTTTGGCCCCATTATATTACGTTCCATTACATTAATTTTTTTTCTCTCTTCATCTCAACCATACATTCATCAAATAAAATAATAATAAACACAAATCAAAAACTTTTCAACCACGCATCTCCCATCAATCACTATTCTAAAAATTATTTACCCCCAAAAATTTAATTTAATGGGGGGCAAACAGGGCCCGACTCTTGACTACGAAGAAAGTCTTTTTCTTGGTGATACCCCGTCAATGGGAGCCAGCCTAGTCAACGGATCGAGCCTGCCGAGCTGCTGTCGTTAAATAAAAAAGAAATTACACATATCCCTAGATTTAAAGTACCAATTTCATAAATTTTGAATCAAGTTTCATATTACAAAAATTAGGTTTTAATTAATAATTTAAAAATATTTTTTATATCTAATTAAATACTAATTAATAATTTTCATTCCAATTAATAATTTCATCCTAAAATCAAAACCTAATTT